CTATACAAAAAATTACATTAATAAAAAAAAACAAACAAATGCGTGTCGTACTCGTGAATGAAGGGTTCTGTACCGAAAACGGGCAAAAAATCACTTTTGTTGTATGGGAGCCCCCTTAAATATGTATTTTATTCTGTTTTTTAACCCTAACTTTCTAACTTACACGATTCATGAGATACAGCCTGGTGTTACTGACAGCGAAGCCTTGTTCCTCATTATATACTGTTTTGTACATTCATTATTATAAATAGAATTGCATTCTTGTTTTTTTTTTTTTTTTACCCAGTCGTCATCCCTATTAATTTAAGTCTACTGTATTTGTCTCTTGGGGCCGTTCATTTGCTGTTATTGCAGTGGATAAAGTTGTCCTTGGTCATGGCAACAGCATTAGTGAATTAGATTTGAATCCAAGACAAAATGTCGTAGAACTATGCTGTTGTCATGCATGAAATAAGCTTGCTAAGTAATTTGCATGCCCATATTCTTTTTTTTTTTTTTTTTTAATTCTTATTTTCTTATGAAGCTTGCCGTGGCAACCTATAATTGAGAGTTCACTTCAATATATGAACATGCAAGCAACTATTGTAACAATTTAAGTGAATGTCTTGTTGGTTGTCCAATAAAAAAATAAAATAAAAATACTGTTTTAGAAAATTCTAGGGTATCAAGTGTCAACAACACTTTTTGTTAAATCTAACTATAAATATTATCTAATGTACATTGTATATGTAAATTAATATTATAAAGAGGAAAGATTTGATTATTTGTAACAGGTTGGGGAAAATGTTTCTTCGCATTTTATTGTATATAAAAATTCAAAACATTTATGTTTTATTTATGTAACTAAAGTATGTAGATTGTCCGATATCTTTTTGCCATCCTGTAGGTGGGACATGATCCCATTGCTATAGAAATTTTGGGGCTTTTGATCAAACAACCGCGACAAGTGATTTTGGCATTCCTCGCGTGATGTTTACCTGACACTGCATAAAGAATTCTGAAGTTGCAAGGTCAAGACTATACGGTGGATGCACTTAACACATCCCAGCCATCCCAGCCAAACTCTCTTAATTTTTGATGACTGGTAAAACATTTGTGAGGTCTAGCGTTATTACGATGAAAAACAAACCCTTTCTATTGATTAATTCTGATCGCTTTCTCTAAGCCTCTTGCTTTAATCTCATCAGTAGTTCGCAGTAGAGTTCAGAATTGATGATCCTGCCTGGCGGAAACAGCTCATAATGAATAATGCCCTTCCAATCCCACCATACACACAGGATCACCTTGTTTCTTCACGCCGTAATAAAGAATCACAAACGATTAATTAGGTTTCTTTAAGTGAGCTCATGTTATTATTACATATTTATTTTTGTACTTTATTATTGCTTATTACTGAAGAGCGGTCTTTTACTTTACTATCGCAACTAGAACGATAAGAAGAAAGGACACAGAAATATTTTTTTATAAAAAAGGACATCGACGCGCTACGATTACGTTCGTACGTTTTGGAAAAGCAATACAATACAAAATTCTTTATTCAATCGATTGATAGAAACTTAAAGTAAGTTAACAACATTGCATAACTATTGACTTATTGCTTAAAGCAATTTCTTCTAGGCAATCAGTTGTTGGAGGGAAATAACATTAATAATGAAAATTTTGCCGAAACTTTTTCATTATTATACAATTTATTTATGAATTCTATCTAACGATATTACATTATAGTGAACTAAATGTGCACAATATTAAAATATTATGAAAATTATAAAACGAGCGATTTTTTTTTTTAATAAATCGAGGCTCAATATTTTATTTGCTCTAAAGTAATGCATCAGTCTAGAATCTAGATTATCCCGCGTGTCGTAGAAATTTATGAAACCCCGGGGATGATCACCCGCGGGGTGGAGTGGGCTAGATATGACTGACGCTTATGGCTGCTTAGGGTTTGCTGTCTCATTAAATATTACATTATAAATATTTATTATTTCTGTTTAATAAAAACTTTTGGTTAATATTTATTTCCCAAGAATTTAAAAATGCAATATCACATATGATTATGAACTTTTCTGTTTTGGAGTCTGGATGTTGTGATTCCTTCGTTGTTTCAACTAATCATGTCCAATTTTGACCTAAAAATCGATATATCTCAGAAAATAACTTATTTTTTATTTATTTCATATCAGAAAATTAAATCTCAAAATAAATACAGGATATTGCGAGGCTGATAATTATTTTTATGTTATCTACCCAAATTCGATTCGGACCCTAAAAATACGTTTTGCTACACTACCTCACTGCGATTTTGGACACAATGACGATTTGCTACGTTTCGTTTCATCTACAATGGAAAAAATATTCTTTCGACATACGGTAAAAAGTGCACATTAACAATTATATTTATATTTACGAGTCGAACTATAAAAAGGTTTGATTTGAATGCATTAATTTTTAAAGTAGCTTCACAATTATCTCGAGTTTTGACTACAATAAATGATTAACGACCTTTAAAAATACAGAATTTATGCCTCGGGACAAATAAAAAATATTTATGCTTTTTCAAAAACACGCTATTATAAAAGACACAGTAGGTACTGTATTGGTATTACATCATTATATCGGATTACAGACGATCAATTACATTTCTTTTCTTATTTACATACCGCATATTGGCTTTGATCGACATTGAAATCTGATTTACTTTAAAAGCAACAACGATCATACGTTTAAAATATAGGTAAGTTCCTAACGATAGAAGTGATAAGTTTTATGTTAAATTGTTTGAAGCGGGTATTAACGCGACAGATTGTTAGTTAGGTTTTTCACCTACCTATATTTCCTGACGCTTCGACCGGGTTACACCGGCCGTGGCCACGGGCTGACTGTTGCTGCGATGCTTCGTCTCCTCTTCTGAAGTGGAATCGACTTCTACCGTCCAATTTTTTCCCAAGATACCTTCATATACAACACTAATAGAATCCCTATTCTGTATCACAGCCGTATTACGGTACTCTGTGGAAGTGGATTCCACTTCAGAGGTGGAGACGGAGCATCGTAGCAATGGTCAGCCCGTGACTACAGCCGGTGTAACACGGTCGAAACGTCGGGAATATAGGTAGGTGAAAACCTAACAAAATATAATGCAACGCGAAAGCTTAAAAGTTTAGATAAGTTTTATGGTTTTGAATTCACTAGTTTTGAAAGTTAGGTTAAATTTCGCTTTAAAGCATATTCCACATAGTGATGATTTCATTGTTCTTTTATTAGATTTAGTCTTAAATTATAAGTTCCTTTTGACCCCATCACAATTATACCTCTTTCTCTAGTATCGTAACCTAGGTGATGAAACCCGGTAATCTGTGGCTGAATTAAACAATCTTTGGTGTTCATTATTCGTTTTATATTCTATACTGGGTATAATCGTTATATCGAAAACAATAAAAATGGCAATAAATGGAAATATTTTCCAGTGATTAGCGACACAAAATTGTATATAATTTGCATCAAATTAATGATGCATAATTCAATTTGATTGGCAGAGATTATCCATTGATATAACTATGCTTTGTCGTATTTTACGTAAACCTGGTTTACATTCACAGAACAGAAAAAAGGAGTTACATTGGAATCTCCTAGATTTAAAAACAGATTGTGAAAATGCTATTGTATCTTAAATACATATCCGTTTCAAGAGTGATATTCTGAAATATCTTTAATGAAAAATGCATAAAAATCCGAGATAAGACTCGAACCCACAACGTTTCGCAACCCGGATGACTACTCCAACCATTAAGCTACCTGAGACCCAACAGGACTAATATATTTTTCAAGCACTTGTTACTCTTCGCTAATAGTGAGCGTATTTTCTTCAATGTTCAGGCGATCCACCATTTTTTAAGCATTTTTTATTAAGATTAATCAGTATAGCATTGTGAATGCGAAATTGATGAATTAAAATAATATAATAGTGTATCAATAGTTTTGTTAACACCCAAATAGTCCTAGCATTACGACTAGAACAACGGGCCAGCACGCGTAGCATGACAAACTCGAGAAACGCTTTGTCTACACTCATTTGTCAGTTTCTCGGGTCGAGAGTGAGATATCGTATGGGCGCACCCGAGAAAAGTGACTTTTGAGTGTAGACAAAACGTTCTCGAGTTCGTCATGCTACGCGTGCAGTTATACAAATATTTACATAATAACCACATCTCAATAGAATCTTAACTACTAACTTACATTTTGAAATTGTATTATCTACCTAATGTCTAATATTATTATTATCTGTCACCATTAATGTGTAGGTAAAGAAGATATTGCACTAATAATATTAAACTTGAGATAGATAGTACAATGGTAAATTGCACGTGGTTGAGATTTTGAGATGTTATTATTACATAAACCTGACCTATTATTACATGGCCTGCAGAACACGCAATGTTTCATAAATTTGCACGTGGGAGGGTAACCAGAAGATGTATGAAAACCAGTACCTAGCCGCCCGTGGCGAAACGCATCACTGTAACTCTAACTAACGCCTTACTACCTCTTTATATAAAGTAATCTTAATGGTGTCCTATAAGTTAATTATTATAATTTTTCTATAAATCTAAACATTATCATAAATTAATTAATTCATTGCCTTGCCTCTAAATATTTTAAGAAGTTTTGTATTTTCATAATATAAAGTTGGATTGAAATTTAGTAGATTATACTTATATAATTGGAACATAAATATAAATAATATTATATAAATATAAAGGCGGCAATCTTAGCTTGCTTATATTACTGAAAAGGATAGAGGAACATTACTAAAATTCTGCTTACAATAATATATGACTCCTGATCTAAATTGCCATCATTATAACTACTTTATATTAATGTCAAATTATATCCTTTAATTTACCAATAAATAGCACACAATTCAGATCGAAATACATCCTTACACTTGCTATCGTTCTGTTATTGGTAATTAAGGCAAATACACCTTGAGTTGGCGGAATAGGTCCGGTATGCAAATGCCATGCTTATCCGGCAAGGAATCGCAATTTCAAGAAGTGAGAACAATACAAATTGAGGAAACCACTGTTTATATTATATCATGCAGTATTCTACACAGTACAACTTAATGAAATATAAAATACTACAGCCAGTTGCAAACGATTCCGCAAAATATATGTTAAGAAGGCTTATAGTCATTTGCACAAACATCAATTGCGATTTAATAATAACCTTAAGCTCTAATGCCATGTATATTAATTAGCTTTCTAACAGGTTTAATTTGTAGGTTTTGGCATATGTTACAAGTCAAAGCAATATTTTAAAGTTAAAAAATATATCAAATAAGGAAGAAACATTAGTCTTTATTGATTCTTAAAGTCTTATACGAAAACGTAGATTTAGATTTTCGATTACAATAACAATACCCTAAAAGGCTAGGATGAGTATCCCTGATGCAGAAAGACTCTTCACCGTATGAGCTAACACGTGAGATCTCTGTCTTTCGTAACTCAAATGCAGACCGGTCGACCAGATAAGTAAGAGTACTTTCAAACACTGCTTCCCCCGGGCTCATTTTTACCTTAGTCTGGTAGTATTCTTTGCTTGGTCGCATCACCCTTCCATATGCCAAATAACTCGTTATTCCCTTATTATCACGCTCATGTCTGAGAACGTCCTCATTAGGACTTTGTCTCATCACCCACACCACTGACGTCAATTTCCGCTCTGTGCATTGATCCCTTACAACGACCGTTAGATTATTGATGAATTCAGTCAATACTGTAGCTACAGTATAAAACATTGGATCGTGCTTCGGTACATTCGACCACTTGAAACATACACACCAATGCGGCAATACACCAGCCTCACCACAGGTTCTGTTTTTAGGAATCGATCTTAACAGACTCATACCTCGAGGTACACTAGCGCCGAACACTTTAAATGCGTTTATATGGTCCTCCAAGCCCATTGCATCTAGTACTGTGGCATGTGCGTCGAAATGCGTCGTCAATATCTTAGTATTAGCTTCAACGGCTGCTGCGATTTTTGGCCGACATTTCTTAAACCCCTTTGGAAGTACCAAAGCCATTAATGGCAACCTCTCCTCCAATTTTCCTTGGTACGTATTTCTAAACTCACCAAATCTCGGTCCGTGATCACCAAGTACCATTAATAAAGTATTCCGTAATGATCCAGAAGATTTGAGATTTCCGAGAAATTCTGCCATATCGTCATCAACTGTAGGGATAAGGTTATAAGGGTCATTATAAATTTGTCCTATCAGCGTGAAACAAAAATATTTACTCTTCAACTTTGGAATCTGTAGTGTCAAGTTAAGTAATTGTTTATATAATGGAATCGAACCAACGCAATGCATGTTCTTCTTATAACTAATTAACCATTTGTGGTTTCGCATCGTTTCGAGATGAAAAGCCCTTAGATAATGGTCAGCCGGCTGACGTTTGAAGCCATTATACCGATTCTGAAAAGTTCCTATATATTCTGTGTCTTCGAAGAAAGCAGTCCGATAACCGTTCTCCTTTGCAAGATGAAAAATAAATTTTTTCTCGTCAATTAATTCCATGGAAGTTTCCTTTCTCATGTCAGGAAGTTCTGTTTCAGATTTGCCTGTCATTAGAGGAATCAATGCAGCTTCTGTGCCGTCACCTACTATACTGTGTATATTATAAAACAAAGCATCCAATTCTTTCAGTGCGTTATGGCTCTTGGGCATCCGTCGTAAGAAACGATTACGCGAAGCCGCCTTAAAACAGAGAATCATAACATTTAAGTTTTTGCAAGCACTATACCGGCCTCTCGGTTGTTCAATATTATGAGTAGACGTTGAATTTCGAAAACCAACTTTGTACCCGTACCATCGAGTTGGTAAAAGAGCACCGATTTCCACACCTGTACAAGAAACTTTGACATGATCACTTTTAGTCAGTATGTAAGTTTCATTACCGTACAGCTTAACCGATCGTCCTATCTTGTATTTATCATCGTCAATATATATTATATCTTTATAGATGCACGAAATCTTCTTCATTTTCTTCAAAAACTCTTCGACCACATAACACTTTGATAAATTACATTCCACCCATTCTACCCCTTCACATTTGAGCTTCGCCATGCCATAGTAATCCTTTAAAGTATCTTCAGAAAAAGGATCAAGCTGAGGAACTTCACAACCTGTCCCCTTATCATTCAGAATACTATCGTGCAGTCTCATTTCTATAAATAAATTTGTATTATTAATGTCAAGACCAATCAAACCCATGTCGTAATAGTGTCCCTTAAATAAATAATACGAAAAAACAGTTGCGAAGCAAAAGAGAAAGAAGTACTGTTTAATACGTCGTACTCCATGCAACCTTTTGGTATACCGCCACAGCTTCCTAAGATTAGAGAAAATTTCCATATTTTAACAAAATCGTAAACCTGGTAATTCTTTTTTGTGGTTGTTTCCCAAAAATATAAATAAGTTGTGTCAAAATTTCTTTTTTTATTTTTTTTATTTCAGTATGGACTTGTTCCGTTATACACGGAAATTTGTGTCAAAATTGAACATTGCAAAATCCAAACTCTATGTAAAATTGAAAAATTGAGTCTATAGCAAAGAGTCAATTATAGTTTAAAACAAAGAGGAAATTGGTCCAAAGAGTAAAATTTTCAATTTTACAAATTGAAGGACAAGAAGTCAATCTTTAAGTTATCTGAAAATGCGTCAAACTGAAATGTAGCATATTAAAGAATAATAAATTACACAGTTATGTACAATAGTATTTTCAAAAAAATATTACTACTGCTAAATTATTTGCTGTGATTTCTTTTCAGATAGTTTGACTAACTTTAAGCAAAATAAAAAAAAATCTTATTCATAATAGAAATTATAAATATTACACGATAAAATATTTCAATATTATAGATGATATGTAAAAATAGATTATATTTTTGATCAATTTATTCAATGTTAAATCAGCGAGAAAAATGTTAACGTATTGAAGATTGATATCCATAATACTTAGATATAAACATACGTTATAAGCGCTAGCGGGTTTCCCGCGTATATTTACAGTCTATGTCACCCGCATATAATGTAGATTCCAGTAGGCGAAATAATTTTAAAAACAGCCCAGCGATTCTCTAAACGTCCAGACCCGAATTCGAATTCACTCATTTGTCATACTTCACGTCATTTAGTATAGAAATTCCATTGATTTAATTTTTTTTGTATAAGAATACATAACAAAATTGATTGAAAATAAGTGTCTCCGATATTCCTATGTCATTTCGAAACTCACTTCACTTATGCCACGAAACGATATTACCAATTCAAGGTTGAGCGGATGCCGCTTTTTGAAGTCAATTTGGACACCTGAGTGAATTCGAATTGGGGTTTGGATTTTTACAGAATTGCAGGGCAGATCGAGTGGGTAGTAGTAGCCTTTTCAATGAAAACAAATAAAGAACCAAATATTGCATCTTTATAATATATTATCATTATAGAAAGAGAGGGGAACAACTTCATATTTTTTATATGGGAGTGATGATACTAGCCTCATCTAGCACTCGAGAAAATCTATTTGGTTTAACAGTTATCTCATTCCAGGTATTACAGATGCAGTATAGTGTACTGGCAGTTTTTTTAAGCACTAGCCAATAAGCAATAAAAATTGATACAGATCGATGTCACTATATGTTTTCCGAATTAATAAAATAATATAACTCCAACCAAACAATATTGGGCGCAATATAACTCCAACCAAACAATATTGGGCGCAATTTAACTCCAACCAAACAATATTGGGCGTATTTTGTTTTCATATATTTTTTGTTAACACCAAACTTTAATATTCATTAAAATTATGAAATAAAAGTTTATAATTTTTTTATAGGTCTTTGAACTCAGTATCTATTAAATTAGGTCGGGGAAAAGTCTTTTCACGTTTAGTATGCATAAACTTGTAATAAAATCTTTCTGGCTATACCATTTGCATCTAGTAGGCTAGTTTCCGTATCATTAAAAAGTTTAAATTTTAAAGAAGATAACTCCGAAATCTCCGAATTCAAATTAGGAGAATGTGTGATTTACATTTATTTTTCTTACTGGCAAATGAATGTATATAATGAAGAAATTCGATGCTCACGAACTCACTGAAAGAAACCGTGAACTAATTTGTGAGTCTTTATTACATCCTAATGAAACCGAACCATTTTTGAACAAACTCATAACAGGTGATGAAAAGTGGATCACGTACGACAAGAACGTGCGAAAAAGGTCGTGGTCAGGCTTCACACTGTCTGTGACGAAACCCGGGTTGACACGCAAAAAGGTGATTCTCATGTATGGTGCGATTGAGAGGGCATTGTCATTATAAGCTGTTACCGCCAGATAGAACCATCGTCTCTGAATTCGGATACTCAATGAGATTAAAGCAAGAATCTGAGAAAAAGCGACCAGAATTAATCAATTGAAAGGGTTGGTTTTTCATCATGAAAATGTATAGACCTCATCATTGTGTTTGGCCGGGAGGTGTTAATGCATTGGCTGTATAGTCCCGACCTGACGGTGCAACCTCCAAATTTCCACCTGTTTCGGTCTCTTCAAAATTCTTTAGGAAGTGTCAGGTTAATATCAAATGTGGACTGTCATAAACACTTGTCGCGGCTTTTTTGATCACAAGCCCCAAAATTTCTACAGCAAGGGAATCACGTCCTTGCCTACAAAATGGCAAAAGGTTATCGAAGAAAAGGGCACCTACATACTTTAGTTAAATGTAAATAAACTTTATTAAATATGTTAACATTTTCATATGAAATGTGAAGAAATTTTTTCCTCGACCTTTTATTTAATAAAATGTGCAATATTATTATTACACAGAAAGCAGGGCTAAGTAATTAATCATCATCACCAGTCTATTAAAACTCCTGAGTCACCACCAGTCCATTAAAATGAAAATCGAATAGAGAGAATGATCATTGACCCATCAAGTAAGCCCAGAGCGGTTTGGTGGGTATAAATGACTGCAGATGCAGCTGAGACCAACGACTAAACGTGCCTTCAGAAGCACGGAGAAGCTGGAGTTCATAAAAATGTTCACCCATCTATTCAACTATTGCGGAAGTTGGTTAACAGCCTTATCGCAAATCGAGTGCGCTAACCATTGCGCCATCGAGCTCTTCTAATGGTTTAAAGTTAAACCAAGTTAGTACTTTATTCTTCGTGTTATAATAGGACTTATTATTAACATTGTTAATAATTGCCTATTGGCTAATAACGTTTTATAGAATTCAGCATGTATTTTATCGCGTTATAACACTAAAACTTATATCACGCGCATGACACTAACGGAAGTTTTATTACTCGCTAAATGTTACGAAATTAAATACTTGTGTTACTACTGTGTAACACAAAGTTCCGATTAATACGTGCCATCGTATCAGTTAATCGCACATTATCATCATCAGCTTATTAACGTCCTAACTGCAGGGCTTAGGTATTCCCAACTAATGTCGAATAGAGGTAGGGTAGGTACGAGGGAATGTTTCATAACCACACAGACCACGGTTAGTGGACATTAACGACTGCAGATACAGGCGCAACAACGGTTTAACTTATTCTAAAGCACGTAGGAGCTCGAGAAAATATTTTTTGGTCACCCATCCTATGACAGACCGTCGCGAAATTGCTTAACTTCGCATCGTAGACCGAATGCGTTAATCCCTGCGCTATTGGGGAGTTTCATTCCCCAATCGCATATATAATAGGAGATGTCCTGACTTACTGACTGACAGACAACGCCCAGCCTAAACCGCTGGTCGTAGAGACTTAAAATATGGAAGATACATTCCTCTTATTATGTAGAGGTGAACTAAGCAGGGTTTTTTGGAAACTGCACCCTGAAGGGGTTCAAAAAGGGTGAAAACATTTGCATGAAACTTCTATACTGATAAAAAATGGTATTTGGTTTGTTTAACACGTTATAAAGGTCATGTTATATTTTATTCTGAAGGGATGAATTTTCATCCCTTCAGAATAAAGTTACCATAGCAACCATTGTTTACAGTTTGATTTCTCATTATAATAAATCTATAATATTATTTCTAAGATTTCCTAATATTGTGATAATAATTGATGCTTGAGTACATAATTGATAACAAAAATAACATTATAAATAAATATTTTTAAAATATTCATGTACAAATCACAAACTATAATTTTTGTGCTATACTAGATGGCGTTAAGTTCTACATCTCACTGTTTTGGTCAAGGTTAAGTTTACAAATAAAATTTAGTAAGAACTTTATGCTTTGCTATACTGATGAGTAGCTTGATAACGTAGTGGATAAGCGCCGCGGCCCGCGATCGTTGCAACGCAACGACAACGAAACGAAGCAACTTTCGCAAGGGACAGATACGGGATGGGTCACAAAAAAAATATTTCAAGTAACTCCATGATTCGGAAGACACGTTATGTCGTTGTTCCGGCTGCATTTGCTATCGTTAATGCCCTTCAATTCGCGTTAACATAATTCATAAGGAAAGCCTGAGCTTCTACAGTGAAGACGTAAAAGGGCTGATGATGGTGATACTAGATGCTTATTCTTAACAGTTTACGATTATAGACAACAGTCTCGTCGTGAGCACGGCCGGTGCAACCCGGCCGAAACGTCGGTGCAGGTCAATGTAAAAATCGCGTCTTATACCCGTTATTAGAAGTATATAAGTTTACGATTAAGTTTTGTGTGAACATTAGAATTGTGTTTTTCTTTCAATCTGTATTTCAAATCGGATAAATAGCTTTAAAGTTTTCAGAGATAAAGTCATATTATACATTAGTCGGTTAATTACATGTATAAGTGATGCTGTACCTTAAATAAATAAATACACATAGCTTTTTGTTAAAGTGTCTTCGAAGTTGAACATCAAAGTAATTTTATGCGAATATCGCAGATATTTTGCTATAAATAAAATGAATAAGTCTGTTTCGTATAGGGAATTTTGACAGTAAATCAGTTCCCTGGGTACAGCCGCACTGTAGAAGAACGTGTGATACTTACTCAGCAGCTGATCTATGTTTAGCCGTGCAAATAAATGGCGTCATTCTATTATATGGCTAGCCGCCTAATTGGACGAATCTTTTACTCAGTTGGCGACACATATCCATTATATATTAACAGTTTAAACTTTTAATTTCCATTAATAGCTGTGAATTTAAAAGTCGTCCA